AAAAACACCCTACTATCTGCTACTCATTATTTTAAAACTGAGGTCATTATATACATAATAAATGTGGCTATGCTACTAGTATATTCAAGAGTCATCAGGAGTCGTAATGAGTCATAGTAAGTCATTGGGTATTCTGCTAAGTCATCCTGGCTTATTGCTAGTCATGTGACCTATCCAGAAAGAGAGTAAGAAATATCACATGATGTGAATCCTTTGTGTGTCTGTCTTTTCTTTGCTTTGTTTGATGGATGAAAATGACATGAGCCTAGTATTTTGCATTTTACTTATGTTTTTCCAGAACAACATATGTGGGAAATATTTTTTACAATCACCTGACATGCATGGGATTTTGTCTGGATCATCACCATGGCTGACTAAGCAAAACTCATTGCAGAATTAAATATACTAAAATATTCAGACTACTTGCATACAAACTTGAAAAATATTTCCTTAGCCTCAGTTCAACTTTAGATAAAAGGAAAAGGGTTTCATAGTGGTATTTAGGGTATAAGACTCATGGGAGAGTATTAGTTGTCCATGCACCAAACCAGTTTGGTGCAGGTCACTGGTGATGCCCAAAATGGCACTCAAAGAGTTAGTAGTGTTTTGCATACCATTTATCTAAATTTCCAAATCAGGTAAGTGGGCCAGCTGACAATTTTGAGAGAGAAAATATGAAGGGTTATTTTTCATAGTATGGTCCTTGGATGCTTTTATACTATATAGAGTAGGTATAAATTCAAATTGGTAGGTCTAGAGCTGTGATATCACCTATGACATCACTTTCTTCCAGAATATTCTGTATTTTGGAAGAAATGGGATTATGTAATCCTCAATATCTTGTAGAGTTTTGAGTGACTAGTGTATTAGGTAATATTCAACATTCTTCATCAAAAATCAAGAAACTGCTGGGGAATTTTAAATTAAGCCAAGTTGATGGTTCAAAAAGATCTTCCTAATAGCAAATTGAAAGGTACATGGTCTCCAATGTAGAAATTAGCTTTAGTATGAACTGCTCCACACAAGAGTGGAACATTTTCAACTAATCCTTATAATTTTCCTTCACTTCCATAGGCATCATTTACAGAGATGCTTCTGCCTATATCAATGGTATGATTAATCTGTGCTTTCCAAACTTGATGACTCACTATATTGAGCTGGCTATCAGTGTCCATTATAGCACTAATAGGTTGTCTATCACAATACATAGTTATCTTGATCAATAAGCCACAGGTATTGCTCCAAATCAAATGAGCTTGGGTTTTTTCAATAATAATAAGCTTTGGCTTGATCACATTAGCTAACATCCTTGATAATTCATGAAATGTGTCAAGAATCTCACCAACTTCCAAAAAAACTGAAGTTTTAAGGAGTGACTCTAAAACTTTCTCTGGTTTCACACAAACTGCCAGGTCAAAGATATGTCACTGTGTGACCTTTTGATTGGCATTTGTATTATTTTTTCAATAGTTTCTTCTTTCTTCTTGTCTTCCTCATTATAGCTTAGATTGATTAGCGACTTTCTTTATTATTATTATAACTTTTTCTGCTCTTAGTAAATGGTTTTGATGTCAGTCTTTATAATTCTCTCTGCTGGATAAACATAGTACTCTTCTTCATTACTTTCATTGTCATATGCAAGGATCATAAAAGCATCATTTTCAGTATCACTTTCTTCTCCTAATATATTCATTTCACATTCTCAATTTAGGAACTTTAACATGCCTATTGAACCTCATATATCATTTCCTGACTCTAGAGCATCAATATTCATGTCTTTGAAGGACCAATAGATTAATACTCACCAATTAATTCATCTTAAACCTACAGAGAATAGCATATGCATGTCATTCTTACCTCTACCTTCATATGTCTCACATGATGCTTGTGTTACTAAATGTGAGAACCCAGATGCTATTGCCAAAATGGAGGACCTAGTTCAAGACTATCTTTGCTCTGATCTACTCAGAATTAATAATACTCATACTATCTTTATTTTGAATGCTACATAAGCTGTGCATTTATTCACACATTGCTAATATCACCTTATTGTAAACAACTGGGACCCAGCTTTGGACATTCTTTTAGGAGACTCTAATAATCCATCCAACTCTACCTTATCTTATCCAATCCTTAGGCCAAAGTCTTAATAAGACTAGTTCAAGCACATGTTTAAGACACTATTACCATGGTTGAAGATGCTCTTCCTACTCATAATATCCTAACTGAAGTAGTATGAAGGCCCTCTATTCTCATATTCAAAGAGCACTATTGCATAAGGACTCATGTTACAGCCTCTCACTATTAGCCTTTATATCCTTCTATCAATTCTTTCTTCTCCAATGACAAGATGGAGCATCCATATGCCATTGCTGCTGTTACAGAATTCCATGGTGAGCACCAGCTTGTATCAACTATTGATGATGCACTGCACATGGGGCATTTCACTAAAAAGACCAAGATCAAAACAACAAGGGACCTAAGGGTGGTCCTGTCTTCTTTCTCTAGTCTTAAGGTATTCAAACATCATGGTGGCTCACATGTATATATCCTCTGATGTCATTGTCTGGCCACAGCCTGTTTGTGACTATGTTTCTTGTATTTGTGTTTGATTTTGATCATTTGTGCTCTTTAGTTTTGTGTATCTACTTTTTTTGTTTTATATTTTAAAAAATTTCAAAAATCATCCTATTCTTTTCTTTGATCTTTGTTTGCAACCAAGTGTATTTGTATTGATTTGGTTTGCATTTTTATGTATTTGTATCTATATCTTTTCTTTTGAGTTTCATTTTCTCATGTTGGCTTTATATTGCTTTGGGCCTATGTCTTATAGCCCTGTACCTGTATTTGAAACTCTCCTATTATTCTTATGTATCCTTCTTGATTAATGAAAACATCCTTGGCAAATGCTTTCGCAGTAGGGACATTATATACTAGCATAGTTTGTAATGCAGTGAATCTATTTAAAAATTCTACTGTGAAGTCTGAGGAATTTACAAGTATCACTTCAAAAGAATTTAGCCTTACTATCCTTCATGAAAATTTTGCAAAGATGTCTTCTAAAAAACCTATACTTGTGTATTCTGAGGATATTCCAGAATGTCAAACAGTTAAAGAGTACTATATGATGTACCAAAAAGATAGTCAGGAGTCTCTCATTGAGCCTCAAGCTATCACAGCAATCTCTTTGGAGGATCCTAGTGATTCAGAGTCAGATTATGATGATATACATATTATATTTGTTTGTTAATCTTCTGATATAAATGATCCTACATATACTCCTATTCTTACAATATACAAACAAACAATTACACTATTGTTGACTTGTTCTGAAGATTTGCTATCAGAAAGATGCACCCAGACAGTCAAAACTTGACAGCTTTCTTGACTTCCCTGGGATTGTTACAGTTAACAGCATTACCTATAGGATATACAAATGTACCTGCCAAATTTTAGAAGTATATCATCTTTGTTCTTCAAGATGAAATTCTGCATATTACAAATGTTTTTATTGATGACTTACTAGTTCAAGGTCCTAAGTCCCTTTATCCAGAGACAAATCAGAGGTTTTAAAAGAAAATCCTGGTATATGGAAATTCATTTGGGAACACACTATTGATGTTTATGGAATTATGCACTATATTAAGAATGTTGGTACTATATTTTCAGCAACAAAGACACAGATCTATTTGCCAGATGTCCTCATAGTTAGACAAAGATGTACCCTATTAGACACAGATAAGGTTTCCAAACTCTTAACTACCCTATTCCCACCATAGTCAAAGAAGCAAGAGGCTTCATAGGCCTATGTAGAACTGTTCATATTTGTATTTTAGGCTTTCTGAACTAGCTAAGCCTATATGGAACCAAGTGGCACTCCAACCAGGACCTCAAAAAACACCAGTGTCCTTTATCATGTATAACAGCGCCCTCTACATCATCAGGCATACATAAATTAGACTCATATAGAATCATTCTCATTATAAACTATTACCCTTTGTCACTAATCTTCTCTTTAGCACCACAGGTACTACAGAAACATCAACTCGACACTTATCCCATCCAGTGGTACAAATAACTCAGTTCTCATGGCCTCTGTCCCTGGAAGAACTAGCTGCAGCACAACAGCTAGCAAACCATTGCTAGCCAACAGCAAGAGCATTGAAGAACATATTCTAGGAACTGGAACTCATACAGACATAATCAATACTAGCTCAGCTAGGAAGACTCTCAATACATACAGTCTCACACTGCCAGTCATGAGAAGAGCCCTCAAGGAGATAGCCTCAGCTCTCTTTGAACTCAGCATTTCAGCGACCAACCTAGGAGCCATCAATACGGAGATCATACACGCCTTAGGCAATCATCATCTATGAAGCTGACATAGACCTGGATACAGAGAAAATAATAGACAAGATTGAGACACTTATCAGAGGACCTATCGCAATGCTAGATAAGAATGTGGAGACTTTGGCGGAGATAACTAGCAACACATAAAACTACGATGGAGGAGGTGGTCGCAGAGGTATATACTCAAATACAAACTTTAACCGATGACATAAGAAAGATAGTAGAAAGTGCCAAGCGAGCACCTGAACTCAATTCCAACCCCATAAGGTCTGATGGACCACTAATATACACAGCAATCGCCAAGGCAGGAATCCCTACTCCACTGGCCAATATTCTAGCTTGCAGTGATGCACAAGACTGACAGATTCTAATTGACTGACACTCGGTCCTGATCACCAACTCACTGAGGGACCTAATGGAGGCTCAACTTATAGCCAAAGCATCAACCACACTCGAACTAATATCAGACAAAAGTATAGAAACTCCCAAAGACCTAACATTCATTTCAGCTCAACTGCCTCCTTGCAGGAGGCATCCTTTATGAGTTGGACTCCAAGATGTCAGCCTAATGGTTCAACACTCCATCCAACTGCAGCAACTTCTTCGAATACTATACCTCAAATGTCACCATTAGAGAATGATCATTACACATCCTCATGGAGAACGTCCCCATCACCTTTGTTCTAGACTCTCCAGCAGCAATTACCAACATTGAAAACAAGGCCAGCTTCAAGGCAAGAACCATCAGTAAGGTTCGGTACATCAAGCCGATCACTAGACACCAATCAAATCAGCAAACAGCCCATGTAACTATTACCCTCTCCTCGAAGGCAAGTGCCAACCAAGCCATCAAAATGAGCTTAGTCATAGTAGGCAAGAAAGTTTACGGGCACAAGCTCCTCTCAGAACCTACACACTTCCTCAAATGCTACTCATTTGAGGGAGCACACATAGTGGCTAAATGTACTCAAGAACACAACATGTGTGGCACCTGTGGTGACAACACTGTACCACCACTTGTTTAGTGAAGGACCCATTCAAACACTACTGTGTCAACTGCAAAGACAAAGGCCACACCACATGGAACAGAGAGTGTCCCACCTTCAAACAAAAAGTAGACAGCTACAAAAAGCATAACGACGACATCAAGTATATTTACTTCCCAACTGAAGACCCACTCACTGCAGGTATTTTCCCATGTTCCTCCACCAAAAATACAAAAAATATCTAGTGAGAAGATAGACATTTCCCCTTCTTTTACATGTCAAAACATTGAAAAAAAATGATTACTGTATCAAAGATTTTCTGTGTGTGGAATATACTGCAAACATTATTGATTTTCCCTCAGGGAAAATGATGAATTTTCCATCTATTGTCTTTCGAATAGCAGCTTGCAATGATGTGAATTTTCTTACCTGTGTTTTTCGAATATTCTATCTATCAAAAGTTTCAATTACTTCATCCAGTTTACTACATGTTTGGTCCAAGAACATTTACAAAACATATAATAGATAATATATTTTATTTTATCAATGTTTTTTCGAGGAAAAGCGAAGAAACTCTCAAAAGTTCCTTTGTATATTTGGCAGGAGGAAATTTGTGAAACATTTTCTATGTTTTGTAAGCATAAATCAATAATGTTTGCATGATATCTCATGCACGGAACATCTTTGCTACCGTAATTTTTTTTTTCAATGTTTTGACACATAAAAGAAGGAAAATTTTCTATCTTCTCACTAAATATTTTTTGTATTTTTGGTGGAGGAACATGGGAAAATGCCTGCAGTGACTAATATGGGAAACTGTCTCTGACAGCAACACAGACTACTTTCCTCCTCCTAACCTTCAACTGTCTGACCCCACTAACCATCATCAACAGGAACCTAGATATCCACCTCCAGTAAGAAACTACTAAGAACAGCAACCTGCCAACAGGCAACACCACCACCAGACAGACAAGAACTCTCACAACACCAATCTAATCCCACTCGGACTCAGCACCCAATGGCACCTCCCAAACTCTTAGTTTAGCTTTGGCCTTGACAGACAAGAATTCCCTAAGGCTGGTCCATGCCAATCCCCCCACAAGCAAACTCTAGGAACATCCAACACCAATGCCAACTAGCTTAGCACTCCCCCACACTGGTCTCCTACTCCTACTCCCCCTCCAATCTCCTACCAGAATGACAGTGCGAACAACCTCTCTGACTGGAACTGATGATGGACCTCACAAACAACACCCCAAACTGAGACAACCTAAAAATATGGCAACAAAATCTGTGCAAGTCTTCCAACATGTGGGAGCACATGCTAAAGAACCTAGATACAGAATCATTTGATCTTGCCTGCATCCAGGAACTGTACCTGAACCCAGTCAATCTGGCCAACACCTCCAATCTCAGGGCTTATTGGGACATCATATACCCATCAGACCACAACTTGGGCACAATCCATACTCAAGTAATCATGCTGGTCAACAAACACCTTTCAAAGAATAACTGGCACATCATCCCGATCAGATCTCCCAACGTCATGGCAATTGAACTAACAAGACAATTCGGCAAGGTACATATTTACAACATCTATAACCCATGCAACAGCAAACAAGTCCTCCACTTCCTCGAGCAGCACATGTCAACAGAAGAGTGCTCACAGCGCCTTGCTCAAGGCAAAAACAGAGCTGAGCCTCACAACATAATATGGATGGGTGATTTCCACTGACACCATCCAATGTGGGAGCTTCCACACAACACACATCTGTTCTCAGCAGAGAACCTCAACACTGCAGGCACACTAATCAATTTATTAGCCATATATAACTTAATCCGGGTGCTACCTCTGGCAATCGTCACTCTAGAAGCCTCCAACACCAGAAACCTCACCCACCCAGATAATGTCTTCTGCTCTGCAGACTTCGAGGACAAGTTCACCCAATGCGAAGTACAATTCAAACTTCATCCGGTCATTACTGATCATTTTCCAATCATTAGCACAATCAACCTCCAACTGGAATGCTCCACCTCCAGCCCACACCTCAATTACTCCAAAGTAGAATGGAATGTGTTCAAAGAGGCTTTGTCAGCCAGACTTGATCAGATACTCCAGGCAGCCAAACTCACCTCTCCAGAACAGTTCCACAATGCCTTCAAATCCCTCACTAATGTCATCCTACAAACAATAAAGAAGCAAGTCCCGCACTCCAAACCATCACCATACACAAAAAGATGGTGGACTAAGGATCTAGATAGGGAAAGGAAGCAAGTCCACAAACTTGGCTGAAAAGCACACACCCACATCACACAACGAACTGACCCAATCCATGAGGAGTTCTGGCTGGCAAGAAACCGGTTTTCAGACAGTATCAAATGAGCAAAGGAACATCATTGGAAGGACTGGCTTGACTCTCTCCCATTATCTGACACCTGGTCTTTTCACAGATACACATCCGGCAACCTAACAGATCAAATTCACACTCGCATCAAGACACTTCAAGACCCCCAGGCCAGCATCAATGCACGATCTCAAGACAACAAGCACAAAAGTGAACTACTTTATGACATCTTTTTCTGTCCTCCTCCAGCAAACAACTTTGTGGACCCCAATTACGACTATCCCCCTCCGGTAGGCAAGTTTGAGCCGATCACTGATCAACAAATATTCTGAGCCATAGGATGCCTCTCTCCACACAAAGCCCTAGGACTCAACGGCATAAGTAATATAGTTTTCATCAAGTGTGCTGATCTGTTAGTACCATTCATGGCACTGATCTTCTGGGTGACCTTCACATTAGGATTGTATCCAGAGAAGTGGAAGTGTTCTTCCACAATAGTCCTTTGCAAGCCGGGACACCCAGACTACAGTGTCCCCAAGGCATACTGACTAATAACCCTACTTGATACCATGACTAAGATTCTCTTTTCCTGTGTTGCTGATGATTTGACTTACATAGCTGAAATACATGACCTCCTCCCAGCTACACATTTCTGAGGACGTCCTGGCCGCTCAACCATGGACTCACTACATCTCCTCACCAAATTCATCACCGACTCCTGGGCATCAGCCAATGATCATGTCTCCCTACTATTCCTGGACATGAAAGCAGCATTCCCTAGTGTTGTGGTCTCCAAGCTTCTCCACAACCTATGCAAGGCCAGAATCCCTCAAGAATATGTAGAATGGTATGGTAGGAGACTAGAAAACAGGAAACAATTCTGGCCTTTGATGACTTTCACTCAGAAGAATTCAATGTAGCTGACATGGTGGACTAGGGATGCCCGTTATCACCGCTAGGATTCATTTTCTATAACTCAGATCTACTTTGTGTTGCTAACCCTAATCCCTGCAGCGGTGAAATAAGTGTTGGTTTCATTGAAAATGTTGCACTGGGAGCCAGAAGCAAATTGTACAAGGAATCTAATGTCAAACTCAAGATCATGATGGAAAAGACAGGAGGAGCGCTAGAGTGGAGCGAGAAATACAACACAGAGTTTGAATTGGACAAGACGGCCCTGCTATATCTCTCTAAGCACAGAGTCCCCAGCAAGGACAATCCACGCAAGATGATCCCCACACCTCGTCCATCAATCACAATCCGCAACTACACCATCAACCCTTCATGCTCCCACAAGTTCTTAGGAGTCATCATCGACGATGAGCTCAAGTTCAAAGAACATGCCACATACACGCTCACAAAGGGAACCACCTACACTATGACATGCAAACATATAACCAGCCTGACAAAAGGAATCCACGGCCAGTTAATGTATAGACTCTATGAGAGTGTCATAATACCAAAGATGATCTATGCAGCAGACATCTGGTGCATAGGGGTAGTGGCCAAGGGTAGAGGCAGGAAAGGTGGAGGTAGGGGAGCTTGGGGATTCACCTTGCAAATGTCATGAGTCCAGAGAATGGCCACCATCATGATCACTGGCAGATTAAGGTCCTCTGCCAGAGATCTCCTAGACGCCCATGCCAATGTTCTTCCAGTGCACCAATCAATAAGAAGAATATGTTTTAGAACTATGCTAAGACTAGCCACACTCCCTCATACTCATCCTATAGCTAACAGTTTAAACATAGCATACAGATACTATGCAAAGAGGAATTTTCAAGGTCGAAAGTGTCATGCCTCCCCCTTGCACATACTCCTAAATGAGTTTCAAGTCAACCCACTCATGATGGAAAAGATCATACCCATCTGACACTACCCCAAGTGGACTCCGGGCACACAAATCAGCATAGCAGAAAAGGAGTGTGACACCGTCAAGGAAGAACAACAGGCAAACGAAACACTACAAGTCTACTCAGACAGATCAGCAGTAGATGGAGGGGTTGGAGGAGCCACGGTGCTGATGAGGGGAGCTCGGGTCATCGATGAAAGAAGATTCCACCTGGGAAAAGAGAATGAGCATATGGTGTACAAAGCAGAGATAGTGGAAATGATACTGGCAGTGCAGCAACTCAAAGACACAGGAGGAGAGGGAACAATGTCCCTTAGAAGTGGACAATCAAGCAGCCATCAGAGCCACAGGTGCATTTCAGTCCCAGCCAGGCCATTACCTAGTTGACAAGTTTCATAACAACTTAAGAAACCTACTGCTGGAAGAAGATGGGAGGAAGTTGGTGATAAGGTGAATGCTAGAGCAAAGGGCATAGCAGGAAATGAGGCAGCTGATGAACACATGAAACACATAGCAAGGGAGAAACATCAGAAGGAAGGTCCCTACCAGACTCACTGTGCACCAAAACTCTCAACCCCCTCATTCTCCCCCTCAGCAAATCGGCAACCAAACAGTGCTTCTACGTCTTGATAAAGAAGGAAGCCAAAGCTATAATGGACAACTCACTATGACTCCACAGAATATGGACAATAGACCCATCCATCCCATTGAACAACTTCACAAACCTAACTGAGGAGCTCCCTTGCTGCCACACCTCTCTACTATTTCAGCTCTGCACGGGCCATGCCCCACTGAATCAATTTCTTCACTGAATTTCAAAGTCCACCATGGCATGATGCCAACAATGCAACAAACATGATGAAACTGTCCATCACTTTGTAATGGCATGCAACAGATACGCCAGACAAAGGGCCGCCCTCCGGACAGAGGGTGGCACCCAAGCAAGCCAACTAGAATTTCTCCTCAGCATCCAATACAGAAACAGAGAGCTCCCAAAGTACATCGTATACACCAGAAGGCTAGAGAAGACCTTCAGGGACGTCACACCCCCCAAGCCAAAAGAAAGATAAAACAGCTCAAAGACTAACTGCCTCCACACACACCTTCTTAGACTCACCTTCAGACGGTGTCACCGTTCTCGCATCTAAACACGTCTGAACTATTATCATGGTCACCCCTCACATTTTAAATATGTATATCAATAGCTACTTACCATAGGTACTGTCTACTATAGGGCTTTGCCCCAATGGACAATAAACAAGAACACAAAAAAAAACTAAGCCTATCACTTGCCTTTGGAAGAAAGATGAGCCATATATAATAGGACTATATAAGAAAAAAAATTCGCTAAATTGATATTGTGGCAGACTGTAACACTAATGCAAATATGTCAGCAAATAACATTAAGAAAATTATTATTAACTCACTGATGAGTTTCTAGGATGTTATAGATCTCACTTTATATTGTGCATAGCGTAGTATACACACATTGCACCCAGATCTGCTAGGATACATTGTAGCCATATGGCACAATAACTTGGGTGTCCACAGATTTGATCTTCAGCAGTAAGTGCATCTTCTATGAATTGACAGACAATGCTGTTTGAGTTTGCTATATAAATTAGAGTGATCTAAGTGAGTATGAGTGTGAATATGCCACTACATGCCTTAAATATAAGTAAAAATAAGTCAATATTTTAGCTATATATATAGATGAGAAAATATACCAAAGATCTGTTATTGAAAGTTATACTGCAAAGAGATCAGTAGTCAGTTATGTACATTATATATACACATTGAAAAAATATCCAAGATTTGAAACATTGTTCACCAGAAGTTGTGCTACAGAGAGCTATAGAGAGATGATCAGTTATAGTACATTATATATATCACTTTATCAAATACACATTGTCAGTGCTCATATGACAGTGTGAAAAAGTGATATGAGCTAGCCTAAAAACAGCTAGTATACTATTGATTTTACTAGGTGCAAGTGTGCTAAGTCAACCTAAAAGGATTGCTATGAACAAGTATAATATGAAGGGAGTGAATGCAAAATAGAAAAGACCTAAGGCAATTCTAGAAATGTGAATATACTAATAAAAGTGAGAGCACAGCCATAGGTCCAATAAGTGCATGATAAGAAATAAGCAATAGTAAGAAGAAACTAAGTAAAGAGTAGAGGTAACTAGGTAAAGTTCTCTCTATGCCCTTAATCTTTCTCAATACTAGAAATCTTGCAAAACTCTCCATCATCTTAAGCTGATGACAAACCTAGTCCATCCTCCTTTCAGTTAAATGAATAATCACAACCATCTAAGACTAGCCTTTGAATATGGCAACAAAACTCAAATTCTAGGCTAGAGTTCCACTTCTCTACTCCTATTTTGCTTTGGACTTTGTCTCTGCAGCCTTTCCTCTGTTTGCTGTCTACTTAGAATTTATTCTGAGTAACCTTTACACTTCTCTGCCAAGTAGATAAAACTCCTTCAGAAATTTCCTACACTCCTCCAGAAGTTTCTTATACTTCTCTAGAAGTCCTCTGGCACTTCACCAGAGTAGTCTATATTCAAAGTCCTCCAGACTTCATTAGACTTTCCCTGGACTTTATCTGAAATTAAGAGCACATCTTTAGATAAGAAACATAGCATACAAGCTGAAGCCAAGCTCCTCAGAATCAGTCCTACCCTTTGTGTATGGTTTTAATAATTCATGTAGATAAGCTGAAGGTATTAGATAATGAGAATACCATAAATGCTACCTTTTTTACATGAGAAGAGCCATAATTTATGGCATAAGTGACATGAGATTTGCCAGTGAAGGCTTCTTTGTAATGATTATACTGAGAGGCTTAATTTGTTGGCTTGAAGATAGTAGGGGGTAGTGAGAGAGATGTTTGATATGAGTGTTTGTTGCTTAGATACTGTTGAGTATCACTCTATTCCTCATAGTTATCCACCTTTATCTCTAAGCCCTCAGTGTCACATACTGTTAGTAGGAGAGTTGAGTATCTTGATATGTGAATTGTTGACATTAATATTCATCTTATTAATATTATCAAGATTAGTATTAACAAAATTTAGGTCAGAGGTGGTAGTGTGAGGAGCATTATCATTCATAAGGTTGTTAGGATCAAGATCTACAGCCTTCTCTTTTCCCTTTGCTTATAAGCACAATATGATATCTGTGTCAGCATTAGAAAGAATGAGGTAAAAGGCAATCAGTTTGTCTTTAGGTTATATTAGCACTCACAATTTGATGTGGCAATCCTTTTTTGCTGTGATACTATAAGTGGTGCCAATGATACAATACAAGCCATACACTTACTGACACATTTTATAGTCTCTAACATTGCAAGCCTTTCCGTCCTTTGACTTTGCAGCACAAAGTGCTTCAAAGAAAGCATCTATATCCATGGTCTTGTCCTTCCATCACATCTTTGTAGGTGTATCAATATCTTAAACATTGATGTCTTCTAAGAATCTATTACCATCTGTCACATCTGATTAATTGGACTCGAAGCCTTCACTATCAAGTGATTCTTCAAAAGTGTATGTAAGTTAGCACAGAATAGATGATACACCAAAATTTGAACACATCTGTGAGCATTTCAGGTGCTGTAGATTCAGTATCTGTCATGTATGTTAGAGACTGAATAATTGTTTGAAAATAAAAATAAAAACATACCTATAAGCATATCAAATAATGTGTCCAAAACCATGTATTGCAAGTGTTTACCTTTATGAGTTTGAATACCTAGTCAGTAATAAGATGAGAACTGAAAATAATGCTTACTCATATGGAATCCATCCTCCATAGCAGCCTCATTAGGTGTGCATTCATTAGCCAATAGACTGACTATGTCATCAGCAGCTCATTTGTTGCTTGTTTGTGTAGACTTTTGTATGACAGGAGGATTCCTGTGAATTGAAACCTCTGGTGTCAGATTGATGTTAGCATCTGTAAGCCATGAAGACAAGACGACAGTTCAGCAGGGTCAAGACACAATATGCACTAATGCAGACTCGTCATCAGACATGACAATAGACATTGTCAAAACAGGCAATACTGTCATATTGAAGCTTTAAGATGTATGATAAGAGACACACCTTGATGCATAATGTCTAATTCCTTGACATCTGCAGCTTGATGCTTCATAAAGCATCAAGCCTTTGTGTCTTTGCCTTGAAGCTTCATGCTTTCCCTTAGGCAAGTATGCCCCTTCCTGGCTTCTTTGTGTCTCTGTGCTGAATCTTCACACTTTCTTATAATGCTTCCATTCTTTAGTTTCATCCTTTTTGAGCAGGTACATGCCCCTTCCTGCCTTCTTTGCACCTCTGCACTGAAGCTTCAGACTTTCTCATGATGTTTCTGATATTCAATTTCACCCTTTTGAGCAGGTACACACCCTTTCCAGCATCTTAATTCCTTCCTGTCACTTTTTGAGCACTTCCCGGTGTAGAGACTGATATCTCTATGGCCTTGTAGAGGTCTATTTTCTGATGCATGTAGACATGCTAATCATTACCCAAATCATTCCTATCATATCCAACTCAATATGTACCAAACCCAAAAATCATCAGACATCGCATCGGATTTCACATCAGACTATCAGATATCATGCGCACTTGTCCTACCTATGTCCAGTCTCATTCTGCTAGCCTCACTAGGTGCATAGTTACTTATCTTCACATCTCTAATGTTTCAGACTGCATTATTACATGTATTCTCATAGTCCACAGTACATCATGTCTTATTACATAGGACATCGGATCCGAAATATTGTGCTACTACTCTCGCCTATAGGGTTCCAGATTTCTATGTATCTACATAAATATTGGACTCCCCATAGCATCATCATCATCTAAGTAGAGGAGAATCGTTCTCCGACACTTAGGGGTCAAATCCGATATTTCGTAGTTCTTAGTTGACATTGCGAATATCATTGTTCCTTCACCCATCCATATCCTTCATTGTTATTATTGCGCACACCGCTTGCTTTTCCGACACTCACTATTGTGTCACTATTAGTTTCTGATAACCTGAACCCAAACCCAACGAACCCAAAACCCGAAAACATCGGATCCAATGCTTTTGCATCGGACATCATAATTATACCTTCAGACATTGTTTCCCACACTCGGACTATTGACCCCACATCACTCACTGACCTCCAAAACTATTCCCAGACCGCAGACCCCTGGGTCAAATGCACTTGTCTCACCAAGTATAGCAGACTAGGCAGTGCAAGACCACAACATAGAGATATCAGTTTGGAGCCATCTTTGTATAGCCCCACTCTGAGTTGTATTCCTACACTGGCTTCTTTGCACCTCTGCACTGAAACTTCAGATTTTCTCACAACATTTTTCATATTTGGTTTCACCCTTATTGTTGATCTCAGAGGCTCAAAGCACTATTGGTACATAGTTGTGAACGACCCTTTAGAATTAAAATGATCAATCCATATAGGTAGTTGCAACTTGTGAACACAGTTTTAGTGTCTGCTCTATCTGTCCCAAAGTGTCTGTGCACACAGCGTGGTGAAGTGCTATAGCCTATTAAGTAAGTCACATGCGCTGCATCTCATTGGCATTTCTAATAATTTAGCACTACTTTCTAATGGCATTCAATTTATTTCCTATTCCTGTCGATTTTGGGCTATGTATGTACAAGCAACAGACTTCGACATGAAGCTTGCGAAGGAAATAAGATTATTTTTCAACTATGAGTGGCTACTTTTCTGGATTGAAGCACTTAACCTCCTCAATATACTCCATGTTGCAGTTGCTGTACTTCCACTCATTTCCCAGTGGCTGAAGGTGAGAACAGAGTCACCTGTATATTTATTTATCATGTTTTAGGCTATCTATCCTGCATTTTCTTGCATTGAGCAGCTACTCTGGCACATCACCATCTCACTCCTTCAAATGCATGCATATAGCTCACTGCAATATCACCCCAATCTCATCTTTTGAGCCAGAGATGTGTCATATATTCTTTCACTTGCCCAGCTACACACTCTACCCCTAGTACCCTTCATGTTCACCTTCAAGTTATATCAGCAAAT